TTAAACTTCTGCTTCCTAAAATAAATAACTTCTTTGTATGTAATCATCATCATCATCTCCCCTGCCTTATCCTACTCCCGTAGGGTCGGCACACCGGGTTTTCGTCCTCCAAAGCATTCTATCATCCGTCATCTCAGTCATCACTCACTTCTTGATCATGTCACCTTTCACGCAATCCATCCATCTCTTTCTAGGTCTACCTCTACCGATGTACCCCTCCACATTCATAACTAACATCCTTCTTGTTACATGCGATTCATCCTTCCTGATAACATGCCCATACCACTCTAACCTTTTACTCCTTATTTTCCCAACCACTGGGGCTACTCTCAAATTTCCTCTAATATACTCATTTCGTATCTTATCTTACCTTCTTTATATGTAATATTGTTTAGAATAATTTTTAGGTGTATAATAAAATAAGAATAACACTTTATTGTTAGTTACAACCTTTTGTGAAACACAAAACATATAAGTAATTTATGTTTTAAAAGGAAATGACATTTTCTTCTCGGTGTTATAAAACTATAGTTATTAGTGCTGACAACCACAACTGCACGGAAGTGAGATTTATTGCTCAGAGCTCTTTTGTGTGGTAATAACCTCACTAAATAAGTATCAAGAAGTGTTAAACTTTGTTGCAGTCTCAACTTAAGCTATGACATTGTATTGAAGTTTCCCTTTGACCCAGTTTCAAAACTTTCAATTCTCGATGTCAATAATGTACATAAAAGTCCTTGTATTTATTATTATTTTCATTATTGAAAATAAAAATATACCGTAACAACAAACGGTCTGTTAAAATAACAAACATGTTAAGAAAATATTATGAAGGCGACAGTTAATAAAAACAAAGCTTTCATTCCTCATTTTGGATTAAAATAACATAAAGAACGTACCTACAATTTCCATAAAATCTTTTGTAAACATACAAGTCGAAAACATAAACGCCAGCAGCAGACAGAAGTATTCGTTCATTTGCTTCGTATTAACGTTTATTTCATAGAATCGTTTGTTTATTGACTGCGAAAGTGGGTCACGGAAACACGGAGCTCGCGTGAGTTATTTCATATTTATTTATAGGGAATTCATAAGTATTATGACAGGAAGAAAAAAAACATAATAAATTAAGAGAAGTTTCCGAAGTACTAATTTGGAGTCAAGAATACAAAACGAAACAAGATTCTATAACATCTCAAACTTCTAATGGCAATTAAATGACCTTAACTTAATTATGGCATGTTAAAACATCAAAAATAAGTTGAAATTAAAGTTACATCTCTACTTTAGTGTGACTTACTTGGTCGGTATCAATCTTAGCAGTCATAATTAGCATGAATTGAAAGTCAATGTAACCAAAGCCTAAATTGGAAGTACGTCACCAGTGACTCTGTAATTTAATCCTGCTTGTAAATGCAAATGACGCGGATGCTCCTTGTAATTTTGTAAATGAATCGAGAAGATTGTCGCTGTTTAAAGCAGGAAGACTATCCTTTAATCAATTAGCTGAGCCTCATATTCACCAACATCGTTATCAGCTGCTAAAGGTTGCTCACAGCGTGATGTTAAATAGCCTTTTCTAAAAATAGAGCTGTAAATCGTAATACACTAGAACCTCGATAACTCAAACCTCGGTAACTTAAAAACTTCTATAACCTCAAAAAATAATATGTTCCCTTCCCATCAGAGTCAAAAACCTCTACAACATAGACCCTAGATAACTTAAAACCTCTATAACTTAAAACATTTTGTGTTTCCCTTGGACTTTAACTTATCGAGGTTCTACTGCATTTAAATTCAATTGGCAGTTGCTCTTATTAACGCTTTTAATTTATTCTGTACAATTTTGCAGTTGTTTTTAATCCTCTATGGATCCTTTAATTGCCATGCCTTCTTTATTGTATGAATTTTCAGTTCAATAATAAAGTGTTTTCGGCACGTGACAATATTAGTAAAATAAACAAGGTCTTAATAACTTATGATTTTTATAACAAATTCAGAAAGTTTTTTAAACAGCTGGCCTAAATTCCAAGTTTTATTTTTTGTTTGATACTTTCAATGTTCAAATTTTTTAAGCAATTTATTAACGTAAAAGGTAACGATAAACTCGGGCAGTTTGAAAGGAAAACAAATAAGCCAATTTAAAGTCTGCGGTAAAAATTTTGCAGCAAAAACTCATCCAATTACCGTTTTCGAAAGCATAATGGCCAGTGTTGAAGAAAATTACATTCTATGTACATTGTAACAAAGAATAATTCATAATTCTGTGGAGAATTGCCACAGAATTATCTTAATTGTGCGGTCATACGTGTGGAAATGATGCCAGATTTGTTATTATTACCGAGGTAATTTTTGTAATAATTAATTGCATCAGAGATTTTATTGCTACGATTTTATAGATAGCCGAGCCGAGTTAGGTTTTTTAACATAAAATGTTTTCGTCATTTAACGAGTAAAAGTTTATCTCAGTATTCAATAAATTCTCACGGATTACTAATATAAAATGTAATAGATATATATAATAGATATAGGTTTATTTCGCCAGACATAGCATTACCAGGCATATTTCGCCGCCTCTATAATCTGAGGGAATCAGTAAAACCTTTTTACTTTTAAGATCAATAAAAGTTTACTAATCCTCGTTCTATTACGTTATACGCGATTTTATGTACTCCAACATTTTTTAATATTTAACCATAAATTTATACTCCAATGAAATATTTATGAACGTCTACATTCAAAACTTACGATTTTTGATCGGCTTCCCAAAAGGAGGTACTCAATTCGTCTGTATTTTTTATTTAAAATTAGTGATTAAAATCATCAGATTTACTAATCTTACATTTATTGCAACTTGGTTCAATATTAAATATTTAAGGGAAAAAGGTGTCATATAGCATTAATACAATTTTTTACGAAACGAAGTAATAGTAGTTCTATCAACTATTATTTCAGATACCATTTTACAGCGTGGTGTATTGTATAAGTGTACATTGCATATTTACTACGAAATTTAGATTAAATCAAAGAGTTTTAAAGCAATAGTAAAGAGAATGTTTAGGAAGCGCTTGTGGTGGAACATGGCCAGCTGTTCTAAACAACTACTAAATAACATTCCCACTGTAGAATATTTTAGATGCAAGAATGTTAGCGGAATTTAATATTGTCTAATATTATATCTAGCCTAAACCTCGTAACTAGTTATGGATGTTTTAAATATAAGTTTAAATTCTAACCAAATCGAGTGGTTCATTATACAATAATATTCTGTAAGTTCCTGCGAATATTCGCTTAATTTCGCGTGTTTATTGGAACATTAAATTTAACTAATAAATATAATTTAAAAGCTGGTGGATTAGGGTTACTTATTACTTAATACAATAAAAATTAGTTATATATTATATGCGAAATTTGAAAATAAAATATTCATGCGCTAAAACAGTTATATTTCACATCAAAAATGACGAGGGTTGGATTCAACATTTAACCTGAATATGTAAAATATTCTTGATTTATTGCATTATCACGACTCAACAGCGCGGGTTTCGGATCGAAATTAAATGTTAGGAATAAAAAATAAGGTTAGGGACTACTCTTAGCTTTTTTAGTCTGTAGATTTCAATCTATCTATTAATAAAATTTTTATTTAATATTCTAGTCTAATTGGAAGTAGTACACGCGCAGGTAACCTAGAGACTACACACGCTTAACTAATTATGAGCATAATTAAGTTAAAAATGTATTTCCAGGGAGAATCGTAAAACAAGAATATTTTGCGTAATGACAAAAGTACGGTGTGGAACAACCTAAAATAACAAGCTTATTTAAAACTTTATTTATATGCAAATTATTATTTTCACCGCATAATACTGTAGATGAAATAATTTAGCGTGATTTCAGAGTTTATGCTAATGTGGACACAACATGTTCTCACGTCCCAGGATTTATATTCTGTACCTGACTTATAAATATACATGTATAGCTATACGAGGATGAACTGAATGCATTTTATGAATACGTTATTTCATATCATTGAATAAACATTTTCTTTTTGTAAGCTCTCTCTCGCCAAAGCTTTACAAAGGTAATGAAAACGGTAAAACACATCTCGAGTATTAATTTGCAACAGTCTCATGTATATCTTTATATTTTATTTTTAAAATGTAAGTTTTTAACATTTTTGTTTCAGTGAATATGTCCAATAATTTATGAATGTTGACTGCTATGGAGCGCCCCACAAACCTGAACTTTACCTTCTAACGTTGAAAGACCATAGGACCCTGATTGCTTTCTGAATCTGAAACTAGAGGCACAAGAAGGAAGGTCAATCATAATAAGGAAGGTTGTCATCACCACAAAAACCCCTTTCGCGGTGTAAGTCTGAAAATGTTGCCATTTACTTTCAGCGTAAGTTCTGGTCTAACCTTGTGCAAGCAAGGTCATCTCATAAAATATATCGAGTTATAGCCATTAATAACTAAGATGGCTATTAATATTGGATTGGAATAAATACTAGTTTCGCAATATGTATAGATCCAATAAAATCTTAACGACTGTTTGTCGACTATAAATGAAAGGAAATCTTAAGCTATCAATTACCAATATAAACCGTTGGATACCTAAAATATTAACAAATGTAACGTGTATAATTTTTGACTGACTTCCCAAAAGAAGGAGGTACTCAATTCATCTGTATGTTTTTTTTAATACAAATAAGAAGACATGTATAATAGAAAACTCCTTTTCTTCGTAGAGGTGACATCACTGAATGGTTTAAGATCATATTCGTTTCTTTGGTCATGGCATTATAATGAAAAGTGTTGGATCGAATTTAAAAAATTGAAGTATAGTGAACGAACATCTATGTCTTACTTTGAAAACATGTTAAGCATTTTTAAAATTTCTCAAAAAAATGTTCAAATAATGTATAAAAAGTATTGGTTGAGGAATATCTATTTAAAAAAAGTCATTCAAAAAGCTAATATTTATTACATACAATCGACATATACAAAATCATTTATAAATATACATTTCAAGTAACAATACATATGTTTAATAATTGTCATACGATAGTTCAAAGCAACTTCGTAATAATGTAAAAAATTACAGACTAAACCGAATACTTTCTCATTTCTAAACATAAGCAACTGTCAACATAGTCCTTACAAAACTTAATAAAAAAAAATTACATAGTTTCAATTAATAACTAACTTAACATTTAAAAAATATACAAAACCAGGAATCTGGTACAAGCAATAATAAAATAGCGAGAACAAAATATACATAAGTACAAATAATGCTTTGTACCAAAAACTAAAAATATCAAAAAAACTAAGTGTTACCTAATGAGAAAAATAAATTAAAAAACTCACAAATATTCATTTAATACAACTACTACTTCATTTATAGTTAGCCATATCCAATAAGTTTAACATATATTATCTATAAAATTGGGTTGACACATATTTAAAAAAAACTGGTCATATTGGCCATATAACTAAAGTCAACTAGCACTAGACAGTGCTAATAATATATAAACCTCAAAATACATGGTCTTGAAATACAATGCACATTTCAAATAAATTTGGAAACTTATTTTTCACAAACACAGCGAAGACACCAACATAGAGAAACTAAAAGAAATTATTTATTTAAATGTCAAATACAAGTCACATTAAACCCTACTACGTACTTATAAATAAGTACTTTATACAAAAAGAGTAAAACTCTTTTAATTGTGAATTTCACTATTGTTTTCGTATACATTAACATTTAAAACAAACTTTTATTACTAAAACATTCTAAAACGAAAAAAATGCATTGACAATTAAATTGAAGGCCCTTACGTAAACTTATGTAACTGCAAATAGTACATTTTACCGGGGTATTAAAATAAAATGTGTATCTCGTGTTATATTTATCACACAGTGGTAAAAATTAATATTTTAATGGAAGAATAAATACATAATACTACCATACAAATTTAGTTTATAGGTATATGGAGATAGTTTACTAATACATGTATGTAAACTTAATTATATTTGTTTTGAGGTGGCTGTGGAGTCGTCCTTGGTTTTTCTGCTTCTATCTGAAACGCATAAATTGAGTACATTTTATTTATCTGACCATTTAAAAAGTTATTTTATAAAATAACTACTGCAGTCGCACAGAAAATTTAGATAGGACACGAAAAAAGCTTAAAATTGGTAAACAACGAGAATAAGAAATAAAAGGTCATCTAAAAATACAACACCAACTAGCTGTCACATTATGTATTATAATTTCATTAAGGAAATAATTAAAAGAAACTCCTTTGAGACCATAAATTGAGTTCAAAAGATATCAAAGTCTTCGACCCTAATTAAATATTTGACCATCTCCATGTTACACCCCGTATATTGTACTTTTACTAAAATTTAAACGACAAAAAAACATAGTGTGACTCAACCCCTTGATAAAAAATGTCTTTAAAGAGTATGTTTAATTTAAGTTCAAATAAAGTCATACAAATATATACATAACTTAAAAGATATTTCAAATTTACATAATTAAGGTAATATCTACCAAGCAAATAACAGTATTCACAATAGAAAAAAAATAGATAAGGCAAATAATTGAACAAGAATATCGCTCATAACCAACAAAGACGCAACAACTTGCTGGCAAGAAAACAGATAACAGAATAAAAGAAAAAAACCTTAAATTCTTCTTTTTGCACATATTATTGCCATAAGTAAGATAATATTAATTTTACCTTAGAAACAAATTACGACAAAAAAAAATTAAATAAAGGAAATAAAAACAAAGGGGGTTTGTCTATCATACTTCATATTTCATTCTAAAATTATAAATCTGAAAGTTTTGATAGATGGATGGATGTTTGTTAGAGTTTGCAGTCTAAACGGCTGAACGGATTTCGATGACATTTGGCATAGACGATAGAGGATAGTCTAGAAGAACACATAGGTTGCTCAGTTTTGATTTTTTTTAATTCCACGCGGACAGAGTCGCAGGCGAAAGCTAGTAAAATATAAATGGCAACCAAAAATAAAGGGGGTTTTACACACATGTCATGCCTCGAACCTCTCACCTTGAAATTAAAACAGGAGCCACTGGTCGTAATCGAACTCACGTGCCAGTGCTCACCGATCGGTAAATATATGGACGATGCTGACGTCATCTCGAAAATAACAAACAGATAACACAGATTTCATTTCATTCCCTTGCCTTCCAATGATATCAAACGAGTAGCAATTTAAAAAAGTAGTCGAATCCTGAGCCTACTCTCTTAAGATGTTATTTCCAATACGAATATTGTACAAACTTGTAACATCTTGATCTTATTTGTCATATATTCTGGCGGTATCCTACAACACCGAAACCCCCTCTCTCCCCCTAACCAAACTTTTTTTTATATTATTAGGTGGCAAACGAGCAAACGGCAACCTGAATCCGCCGAAATGGCAAAGCAACCGCTGCCCTCAGACATCCACAATTGCAGACGCGTTCGCTACCCTAAATCTGCAGAAGAGGAGACGCACATAAACAGAATATTTCCCCTTTCTATGCGTCGCCTCCGCCGAAATATCCACTTTTCCTTCCCATCCTTTTCATTTAAGAAACGGGTGGAAAGAAAAAACTAAAATCAGGCCTTGCATTGTGTTGTGACATTTCCAGTGATGTGCCAGTTGGCTTAGATATTTAATGAACACTATGTAGTCGATACTTTTACGAGCTTACATAACTAAATCACAAAAATACTACTAACTACCTAAATATATAAAATTCAATCTAAACTAGTGTTGAATTAGCCTTTAAAACAAGATAAACTAAACTAATGGTTGGTTTTATCCTGACATGTAAGAGAAAATAAATGAAATACCTCTGAAGTTTCAGTTTCCATAAAACTAGCAGATGGTTTATAAGGCCTGCATTTTTTCCTCATTTTTTCTGTAAATTCTTCTATGAAAACTGCTTGATTTTCATATTTTTTTGGTCTTTGGAGCTCGTATGCAACATTCACTGTTATATCTGAAAATGGAGTGCAATAACATCATGTAATTGTTATTAAATATTGAGGTTATAAAAAAAGGGTTATTCATATGAATAGAAATTAATTAATTAAATTAAATTAACATTTAACAAAATACGTTTTTTCTAAAAAAATAATGAAAATATGTATGCGTTCATTCAGAGACTGGGCTGACTGCACTCATAGCTTGCAACAAAAAAAGTTTTTTTGATTGACAATACAATCATCAAAACTTTTCAATTTTCATGTAACCTCCTATCTATTTACTTTAAAACATTATTATATACTTCCATCTGGGTGGCAAAGAATATAAGGGCCTGTCTGACAATTCTTGTAAGTTATCAGTTAACAATATTTGATGAAAATATCGGATTTTGGTGTACTGACAGTGACGTCACTTTTAATCTATCTAAGCCTCTATCAGGCAGTGATAGGACAGGCCAGTCTCATATCTTTTTTTTTCACATTGATACCCTTCCCGTAGATGGCAGATGTTTCTCGGAGCCAATATGACTTTATAACTGAAGAGTTTTTGAATTTGGTCCATTAGTTTCGGAAACTACTCTAGCAAAAAATCAAATCTTTCGTATTAATTCATTAGTATCGAAAACACTTACCATGTCCCAATACTTCTCTCACCATGAAGGGGTAGAGCCAACCGACAAGCGGAGTTTGTCCCGCGGTGTAATTAGCCAGCTTATGATAGAACAGTAACCCATCCAACGCGGGATTGAAGTTTGTGAAATGTGGAAATGTCATCATGAACCTAAAATCATTGTTGTGTTATTTTAAATATTTAAACACTTTTAATGCCCTTTCGAGTTAAGGCATGTTAAAATTTAAGACTGAAAAGTTATAACAAGAAATAAAAGTCAAACAAACAAACAAAAATTAACAAGATACTATTCATATTGTATGTACATGTAGGTTTTAAATATTCACTAAGCGGACTAACAGCTTGGCTATTTACTTAAATTACTTGATAACAATACTTACTTATTAAATGAGTCTTTATCACAAGAAGCAGTAGGTAACAGTTTGAAAGTAAGTTTGTTTTTCTTTGATAATTTGTTTATCCCTTCAATTTCCTGTAGGTGAGTTTTCAACCAATACTGTCTAAACTCAGCCTGTAATTATAAAGCACATATTAGTTTTTTTGACCATTCACATAGATTTTGTTTGGGGTGGGCAATTAATACTTAAATTTTCATCACCAGCTCAATATACATCCTCACTCTTTTTTGTTTGTTTCATCTGGATACATTTATAAGCTTGTTCCGCATAATATTTCAAAATGTTTAAACAATTGTAACTTTTGCCAGTTTTCCCAACAGTACTTTTAGACTACTTATTTAATTGATACTGTCGCTTTAAACTCAGAGCAACACTACTCGTCCAGACCCAGGTTGCGCGCCAATCTAACCATACTTCTAGTAACATTGACAGCTGTCAGCTAGAGACGTGACGTTTATGCCGATAATCTATAGTTGCGCCAATTCTATAGCACGGTACTAATTTTGTTCCTAACAGTACATAGTAGGATTTGACGCCAGGACCTGTAGATTAAGTAAAGTGCAGTAGAAACTCCTTTCTTACCTCTCCATTAGTCATTGGTTGACTATTCCATGCAAGAAGATCTAACACATACACTGTGTCATATTCATCCAAATAAAATCCATCTAGTACAGAGAATTTTCCTGTTCTAATGTGATTTTCACCAGGATTGCCGCCTGGTAAAGCTGTGTGAACTTCCTTTATAAACTGTCCATATTTTGTATAAAGTTTTGTCATTCCCTGAAACATCAGTATTTATTTTTTTAAGAATGGTTAATATTCAGTTACTTTCATCATCATATTACATTATTAATACTACACTAGCTGTTGCTTGCAACTTCATCTGCATTAAATTTAAAAAAATTGGCAAAATATATGCCTATGGCACTCAAAATCTCAAACATCGCTTTTTAATAGTGAAAGAACCTTTGAAATCGACCCAGTAGTTTTTGAGTTATTTATTACATACAAAAATACAAATCTGTCCTCTTTATAATATTAGTATAGATAGAACATTTTTAATGCTATGTTTTAAAAAGATAAAAGATTTTATAGTTTGCATTGAATAGGCTCTGAAACTTTACCATTTAAAAGCTAAATCATCACAAGTAACAGATACTGTTTTACTACATTTTTGTAATTCTAGAAGGACAAAGTCAGAGGCAAAAGCTAGTGGTAACTAAAAAACAATTTAAAAAAAGAACTTACTCTATCTGACACAATTAGTACTCTGGCACCTTTGGGACATGCTACCACATACCAATTTTCATTAAAATCCTCCGGCTTCTCAACTAACCATTCTGACCGCATAAGAACATTCTTATATGTCTTTGGTGTTTTAGTGAAACCCGCAACATATATATTTGGTCTATAAGATGCCTGGAAAAGTGGAATAGAAACTTTGAATAATATGAAACATCCTAGTATTATGTTTAAGATAATATTTTTTTAGGAAATCCAACTTCTTATTGTTTATTGAAGATGAATTTATGTATCCAATAACATTCTTTTTGCAAGATAAAAAGCTACAACATATTAGAAATGCATTTGATTTCTTACCCTTTCATTTCCATAGATTGGTTGATCATTAGTCTTAGATAGGTCAAATATCCCTCTAAATTGGTCTAAGTTATCATATCTGCTCCTGAAAAATGGTAAAAATTGCTTAGAAATACAATTGTGGTAGTTATTTGACATAGAAATATAAGAAATATATAAATAATTATCATTTACAACCAAATCAATAAATATTCTATAATGATTATCTATAATTTATAAAAACAAATTAAAACCATAGATTTTTCTGAAATAGGCAGGCTTACAAAAATTCAAAACAAGTCACTGACTTTAAATTAGAAATATTGAAGTCTTCTTACCCTTTTTGTAAATTCAAAATCTCCTTTCGTCTTTGCTCTTGGTTTCCATATCTACCCCAATTCTTGTATAATGTTCCCCGATCGCCAGATCTAGGACCATATTGAGTTTCATCGCAAGCGAAAGCGGAATTGAATTTTTGCAGTACTTCATCCATTTTCTTTCTGGCGCTGTTTATTATTATTTGGAATCGTAAATAAAACTTAAATCATTATTCTCTATTATAAGTATCTGTAATAAAATCAATAAAGCCGTTTCAACATTGATTCGGCGTTCATTAAACACCTAAAATCAATGCAACAGCAACAGGTTTGATTTTGACAGTTCATACTGAAGTTACGTCAAAACGTTACGTTTTTGTAGAATTTATTTATAAAAAGATTTTTTTTCATAAATAAGATAAATGTAAAAGAGAAAAATCTCATAGTAAATATTTATAAAAATTAAACAAATATGGATTTAAAACCAGTAGTTAATTTTTCAATATACAACCCAATAGAACGCCTGAAGGGTGGATTTGTTTTCACGCACTAAAGAAATCAGCATCCTCACAATTTCCGTCGTATTCTTCGTTTTACGATGTTTTAGATATTTATTAACATTATAAAGAGGAAAGATGTGGATTTTTGGATTTAATTCCTATATTAGCTGAAATAATTCAAAAACTACTGGACTGATTTCAAAAACTGTTGCACTATTGCAAAACTATGATATCGCTGAGTAACATGGGCTATATTTTTATTATTTTTTTAATTTCACGTGGACGAAGTCGCAAGCAACACCTATTAAGCTATAACCGTGGTAATCTAAACGCTTAAAACCAAACTTGAGCCACAACACATATCTATACCAAAGCCTATAATAAAATTAAATAACAGTTCTTGAGGAGGCCTAGGCCTAACGAGGTATAGGCTAAGCGCCTACAACACACTGTAAATACCTCTTGGAAAAAAGTGACTAGTCAGAAACAAAAAGAAAACGAAAAGTATTCAACCCATTTCTTGCAAGTCGTAAGGGAAGTCAGGACATGGTAAATCAGTTCGATTGTATTCATTATATTAGGCAGACTTAAAGTCTTCGGTGGTACGAAATACATAGTTGCAGGTAGGTGGATAATCAAAAAAATTAATACCTCTTTAACATTTATAGAATTAGGAAAACATAGTGTTATAGTGGCTTGGTAACTTTTCTTTAAGATAACTAACGTGATAGTGACACGGTACAACTTTGCGCTAATATTCAGAGCTTGGTACGTTCGGCGGCGTCAAACGACCTATTTACGACAGTTATCTGCATAATAGCCGCAGATTATGTTCAAAGCCAAAGTTAATATTTATAAGAATTAAAACTACGTATTTTAATCGATTCTTAATTAGCAGTTTTTTGTTATGCTCGACTGACCTAAAGGTAAATACGTATAAGTAGCTTTGTAGGTATTTATGTATGTCCATTTTATAGCGAACTTCTGTTTAGGAAATACATAGCCAACAAATTTAAAATGTAGTAAATCAAAAAGAAATGTGTGTTATTAAATTTACTATACTGAAAATCGAACACGGGACCTTTGATTTTGAATTATTTGGCTTTGTATAATTTTTGGAAGTATAATGAAATCTAACCTAACAAAAAGAAAAAACGTACGAAGGTTTTTAGATTAATGTATACTTTATCAAGCATGTCACTGAATATAGAAAATACGTTTCTAATCGATTTTTTTTTTCAGTGAATTGAACGGTACAAAAGGCACTCTGTTCAGTTCGTCTCGCCGTACCTGTTTGAGAGCAGAGCCAGCCTATAGTAACGTATAGACTATGACGTGTGAACACCGCGTAAGACGATTTGCTCATTTCTCATAGGACATGTTTTATACACGTTTAAACCAGTTTTACAACTGATACAAACTTTGCTAATAGATTTTTTTTATTTATTATTGTATTTTAATTGTCAAACGTTATCATAATACTAGCTATTGCTCGCGACCTCGTCTCTCGGAATTAAAAATCTAGTAATAAATAAAGCTTACCTGCTTTTGCCCGCGACTCCGTCCATGCGGAATTAAAAAAATACTAATTAGCCTATATGTTTTACATCCATGCCAAACTGAAAACAGATGCCTACTTTTTGAATTCCAAAATTTTGTTATCTTGCATTTTATTCGTATAAATCTTGCATTTACAAAGGATTGGTTAACTATTAATATCCAATACGTCATACAATGCGTTTTTCAAACATAACTCTTCACCTTGGCCTTATGATCGATGACGAACACACGTGGAGACCATACTACGTAGGAAGTACCATAATTTACATCATTAAAAAGCACTCAGCTATATTTGCGATAAGTATGTAACAATTTTTTGGTGAGTGATGAAAAGGGGACAAACAAGCGGCCACCGCAAAAAAGCGAAGCAACCGTCACCCATATACATCCATATCGAACGCTCAGACCAGATGAATTAAGTACCTCTTTTTTGGGAAATCGGTAAAAAATATAAACCATCACGAGAACCCACACGTGCATTCTATGTATGATTTTCTTGCAGGACTTCTGTCTCTAGACTGGACTAATGTCAACCAGGTATTAAGCTGCATTTCGATTCAGTAACGTAACCATAGCAACAACGAAAATCAAGGTTCCGTCCCGGGAAACCTTGAAATAAGTCGTTCCTGTGGAAGTTAGCATTCGTGCGTTTGGCGCTCGGCCACCAAACAATCTGGTAAAGTACAGAAAGCCTCCGCCAGTTCAATGGATATCAGCCAAAACTTAGTTTATAAGTATGATAAGGTTTATGGTTTAAGTGGTCATCTGTGTTGTGATGAGTAATCTTGTTAATATGAATGCGAAGGATGGGTGTTTGTTACAAGATATCTCCTTAACAGCTGAACGTAACTTGATGAAATTTGGCAAGGATATAGAACATAACGTTTTTTTTTTAAATTCCGTCGTGAGCGGTAGCTAGTAAGTAATTATTGTCCTAAGTACTTATGTCAAACTTTTAGGAAATAAGTATTGCTAAGGTAAAAATTTCACTTTTTCACGCAACAATAGTCACGTTTCGATCTAATTTATTCAGAACTAGCTTACGCCCGCGACTCCGTCCGGGTGGCATTAAAAAACAAAAGTCAATAGCCTATGTGTTCTAGACTAACAAACATCCATCCATCCATCTAACCTTTTACCTTTTAAGAAGTAAGATTGATGAATTGACAAATTGATCTCAAGATATTTTAAATATGTTTTTTAGTTATTGTAGCATTCACCCCTGACTTCGTTCATGCATACATGCTTTAACAAACATCCATCCATCTAAACTTTCGCGTTTATAGTATTTAGTAAGAAGTAACGAGTAATATTTTCTAACCTATGCCCACGAAAACGAAGCTTAATAATTTATGTAGTTGGATGTATGTCACTTGCAGGGAAGTCGCCAAGAGGAGTGCCACCGCGGCGTTTATTTCTGCACCAAGCAATAACGTTATTCATTGCTGCGTTCCAGTTTGAAAGGACTATGAATTAGTGAAGTCAGTAAGCAATGGAAATGTTACAAATTACGCATCTTGTTGACGAGCAAAAATGCAACGCTTTGGTTTGGTAATACTTTCAGACTGTTAGATTAGACATCATTTTGTGTCTCCCACTTTGTAAAAATACAAGTGTTTCAAAAATTAGATCTCTTCTTTACGATTATTTCCATTTTCATGAGACTTATTTTTAAGAGTGAAAGAACCATACATCATTAACTTTTCCTTTGTACTATCATTCAGAAAAACAAATTACTTTCTCAAAGATATTTGACGAAAAATATTTATAACGCCACCCTATATTCCCTCCCTTCATCCCACGCGAGAACGACGCTCAAACATCGTTACAAGGACTGCAAAATACCTACAATGTATCAAAACAACACAGAATCGTTAGTTTTCCAGGGCTTTCTCAAACAAGTAATAGGATCAAGGTAAAGGGCGTTCCCTGCGTGTACTGCGGTCAACATGCGCTGTAAATATCAGCACAGTTTTCGTCTGAAACGTGTACTTACAACCTTTATTAAATTGTTGAGGACTGAAATAACTTACGCATTAACTTAATCGTATCGCTTTCTGATGTTTATGAGTTATTGAATTTTGCGCAATAAGTATAAATCTATCAATAATAATTTGTAATACAAAACAAAATAATTATACCTATACTTATAAATTTTCTCCTTATCCCAAAGTAAAAAATAATACATTTTATAAATGAAATTTATACCATTGAAACTATTTTAGATGACCAATAAAAAGCTATTTTACCTAGATATAAATATTGCGCAATAATGGTGTTTTTTATATAAGAAAATGTCGATGACATGACAAGGATCAATATTAAAACATAAAAAAATAATAATCATCTTTTTGGAGGAGGCAGATTAAAGATCCAATGACATTCATGGTCCAACTGATTGGAAAGTTCCCGCCTAGACCTTCTAAGAGGTACATAATATTCACCCCGTAAGCCGTCGCTATCTTTAGACATTAACGTAGGCGGTCACTTGTTATTAACAAGTATAGCAATCTGACTTCTTATTATTATTGCTATATTTTACTTCTTACTAATATCATAAATACGTATGTCTAGATGGATGATGGTTGTTTCTTTTGAAAGTATCTCCAAAATAGTATTACGCCCAGATGAAGTCGCTTTCTTTTACCAAAATACCAATACAAAAAAATATTTGCATCTCTTTAATTCTCCTCCAAAAAACAAAGATAACAAGTTGTTTTCATACAGGTGTTTCAACACTGATAATTCACCGTCAATTTATATCCGCTAGTAAAACATAACATAATCTCAAGATAATATATTCAAAGATGGGAATAACCGTTTGGGGTTGCAAATACAACACCTATGCTAACGATTACAGCTATTATGTCCGAAGAGGTAAACAAAAATCACGTTTTTTCCCCTTTTGTCCGTGACAGAAGCGAGAGGTGTGGCAGGACACGTCTCTCTCGCTTATTCCACAACATTCTACAGACTACAGACTTTATCTCTTCGTTCACAGGCTTACCTTACAATTGTAATATTATTTAACAAAAATTTAACCAGATTCTGAGTTTGTACAACATGACACTGCCAATTGATAATAGGTCTACTTTTTTACAACAAAGTTCAGGGGCCAACGGACGTAATGAACTTTTCACTTTCTGTAATCTCACCAAAATCCACAGAAATAAAGATTGCTATTTATATTTACCTGAAAAGAACACTACTACTTACGTTATGTTATGTTACCAAAAGTCTTGTCTTTTATATAATTACTAAGACATCACTCAAAATCAATAAATTGACATTAAAATTTAACTGCAATAATTATGACCTAATTTATAAATCCATCACTTCGATTGTATAAAACCAATAAGTTGAAATAAAGAAAAACAAAAAGTAGAATTAATATTACATTGTGGCTTTAATGTTACTTCAATAAGCGTTATTGTGAAAAAAAAATCTTTATCTACAAAAGAATTTTGAACAGTTTGAAAATGCCGCCCTTTTCGATCAGGTCATGTTATTTTTAAACACAAAATCAAACATGCCTAGATTTTTAAAGCGTATCGGTACTTTGGAATTATAAAATTATTTTGTAAATTTACGAGGTAAGATTAGTGGATCTCAGAAGTTTATTATAAATTGAATCACTCATTTCATTACGCATTTATTACACATGCTTACAAAGCAGTGTTAACCAAATATGCATATCTCCCTATTTTAAATCAATTTTGTACTTTCCTGTTAAAGCTTAAAAAAAAATTAATTATAATGTTCCGTAGTGAAAATTTGTATTTAGTTCACTAATAAAATTATTCAAAATTATCAAAATAATTTTCCTTAAGTGTCTAGCCCATTAAATATCATCCAAGTTTTTTATAATTAGTTTTTGATTTTAAGAACGGAGTTTTTGAGGATTATGGAAAATAAAACCAAACTATGTTTAGTTCGTTATTAAATGTTACTTGATTATAACTTTATTTGATAGAATCAAACTGTTTGGCTTGTGGTAAATTTTTCGGCAGATATTACTATTAAAAGTGGCAACATTCCAGCGGGCGCACGATCTTTGCCGAACGTTTTTCTATTGGAGGCCGAGAATAACCGAACGTATGATTAGGTCACGTGGTACTTTTGGAGTCTTCGTGGCGTAGCTTGTTCAGCTGCTCGTCGAAGCGGCTGTCGGACGGTCGCCTCTCAGCGAGTCTGCGTACAATGTAGCGGCCATTTTTGTTCTTAGTTCATAATAGCGTGCGCATATTTTAATGTATTTAGATATTTAGGAAAATTTTCACGATGACTATAATAGTCTTTTTAATAGATACATCAGCTTCTATGAACCAAAGAGCTTATTTGGGCGGACGCCCAACGTTGCTCGATGTAGCCAAGGGCGCTGTGGAAACGTTCGTAAAGGTACGTGCAGTGTCATCGACTCTTCAACCGTTTCATTTTTATGATCGATTTGTTTATCGCGTGTTAGTGTATTGAAGTTATTAATTTCGTTTCTTAGGTTCGTCAACGATCTCCTGAAAGCAGAGGCGATAGGTATATGCTTCTAACTTTCGAAGAGCCACCCGCGAACATCAAGGTTAGTATATCAGAGTAAACACGTTTTTGGTAGATTTTCTTGTGATTGAAGCATCCATAAATACATAAACGCCGGTTAAGTAGAGTCCATACATGTAGCACTGATATCTGCAATCCAGAACATTTACATACTTTGATTGTGCGAAATTTATTGAAATATACAGCACGACGTAAACAGGACGATCCTCCGCCGTTGCTGCGTTCGTTCGCGATAGCGCTCGCGACTGCGTTCTCGTCGCACTCCTATTGGTCGAGGCAAATCACAACGAAATGGCGATTTGGGGGGAAATATGAAATTTTAGATATCCGTGTTACGATACATATGTTTGTTATTCATCGTGATCTCTACTCGTTTTTCGACGTATTGAAAAGTTGTGCTATACGAATTAAATAATTTTCAAACAAAAATTGATTTATTCTACATTCATAAAATTATAATTACAGGCAGGTTGGAAGGAGAATTTAGCAACCTTTATTAATGAATTAAAGAATTTACAATGTCTTGGTTTGACCACAATGGGTGCTGCATTAAAACATGCATTTGATGTCCTAAACATAAACCGCATGCAAACTGGTATTGACACATATGGTCAAGGTAGATGTCCATTTTACCTTGAGCCTTCTGTAATAGTTGTTATTACTGATGGAGGAAAACTTTCTAGTAATGCTGGTATTCATGAGGAAGTAAGTATACATGACATATTTAAAAGTATTCTGATTTTATTTAAATTCCAATTAGAATTCACTTAATTAACAGCTTGTTTACATATTAAAAAAATGAGGCCAAAGTGATTAGGTCTTCAATATTAAGTGCATCAACACAATTTGAATCTCATTTTTGATAAAATTCTTATAAATGGGTGTGGGTATTGTTTACAACTTACAACTTAATTTCCAACAAGGAAAAATAGCATCACTCAAGTCAGTTAATTTTTAACTTTGTCAAGTTGGCCTCCTATTTCAACATTAAAATATTTGTCATATCTTATCTTGTGGTTTGTAGCAAGCAACAGTTTGTGGGCTCACACACCTTTATCTAGTTTTTATTTTACTTAACTTTGCTTTTTAATAACTTGAAATATCCTTCACATTTTAGTGAATAATCCTTTTTTTTCTAATTGGGAGGAACAAGACATATCTTAAATGGTTTTAACTTTGTTTCTTTTACGTGGTGATCTATTGAAGTTTGATAACCATTTTCAAATTTAAGATATTTTTCATTAAAAAAAGATTATTGAGTTTTAACATTTTTTTTGTTTACCAAATAATAAATTGTAGTCACAGAAATTAAACCTTGTGGTACTTTCAGTTTAATTTGCCGATGAACTGTCCAATTCCTGGATCTGAACTGACTCGAGAACCATTCCGATGGGATCAACGACTGTTCTCTTTGGTGCTAAGGTTGTCTGGAACACCGGCGGTTGAGAGAGACACTGGCTTGGTGCCCTCCGACTCATCACCTATTGATGCTATGTGTGAAGTTACTGGAGGTAAGAAAGTTTGATTTATTATTCAATATTTTATATGATTGGAAGGGGAAGGGTGTGATTGAAATAGAAAAAGAATTATCCTCTTTTCTGTTTATCCTTTTACATAAGCATAGATAATATGTGTACCAAAGAATGTCTATGGTCAGACGTGACCTGCTTTGCGGCCTCAATTTGTTTATTTTTTTTTAATGTAAAGTGTTGATGCTGGCCATTTTATTTGTCCAACAAATTTTTGTTTAATACACCAATGCTAATGATCATGGATTCATTATTCATATTGTGTAACAAAATGTCATTGACTTGTTGTCTGGACGCAATGGGCTAAATGACATGACATTGGTTTAAATAAGATCTAATAAACTATGGGCTAAGATAAATTATCTTTATGATGATTGCACTTAGGGTATTTTATTAGTGTTTAGTTTTATGCAAATGTTTGACCTGAATGTTATTTTTGATAGAATCTGCAATTATATTTGTAGATAGATTTGATGATGATTCTGGTTACTGTTAATTATTTACTTCTAAATGTAATTTTATATCATTATTTTTTGTGTTTTTAATACTTATAAGGCTTAACAGTAAAAGTATTAATTGATATGAATCTATAGATATTTATATTGTTAATTAATTTGGTGTATAATCTATCTATTACCCGGAGATTTTCAGATAAATAAATTTTACAAATACTTTACAGTTGTAGATATTAAACTTGTAGAGCCTCACAAATAAATGCAGTATAAAGTTTAAATTAGGAATAAACTGAGTCTAGGGAAAATTTGTACTAATATTTGCTTATACTCAGATTATTCTTAAATTTAACTTTGTTTATTTATATAGCTGGTAGTGTAAAATTAATGAAAACTGCATAATACATGTAATCAATGAATACTATAAATAATAATTTGTAATTTAGTCACTAAAAATAAGCATACAATGAATCATGTGAATACATATATTAATTAGAAGGCAGTCCTTTTATGGAGGTCCTTGATATAGTCGAGTTAATTATATATTTTTTTACTTGTTCTACCTACAAACATAACTTGAAGTGACATATAATGAAAAAAAGTTGTGGACTTTTAAAGGGACTTTGTTAAGTTATATTAGTTGTTGTTATACAGTTATTGTTATATAAGTTATATTGCTTTACCATAATCTAATAAAATAACTTTTGTGACCATTTGTAAAAATGTTATAGAAAAAAAGTTTGTATTTTTGTATCTATGATATATTTGTGTATGTTATAAACTCAAAAACGAAAAGGCTTTCTAAGATTATTCTGCTATTAGAAAGCTACCATATTACTTAGTAATAGGCCATACTTAATACGAGATTTTACAACGAGGAAGACACACCCTGAAGCTTGTTTAGTGAAGTTAATAAATAGGTGAATAATATAGTTTGGTTGATTTTTAGGACGTTCATACTGCATCACCTCGCACCGTATGCTTATGCAGTGCATCGACAGTTTAGTACAGAAGGTACAAAGTGGAGTTGTCATTAATTTTGAGAAGATTGGTCCGGACCCACCGCCCATTGACGGCGCCAACAATAGAGATGGCACAGAACAAACTGACGATCTCGCTCATGAAACAGATAAAGATATAGATGGTGAAGCTGAAAGAAATGGGGTAAGCAGAATTGTTTTCATAACAATAATATAATAGTTTTTTTGCAGACGAAAATGGAATGTTTTCTTTTCTGGTTTGATATATCAGTTTGATTATTGACATTGACATTTTGATTTTTCACAATCCCACGAGTTTTTCTGCTTTAGTAACCTTCTTTTTATTTTCCAAATCTTTCAAATGTGTGATTAAACTGCCTTAAATACAGTCTACCTTGCCCTTAGGCATGTAGTCAATGAAGTTAATGTTTTTCTAAACTTATCCAAAGACCATAAGAATTATACATTATTTATTGGGGGAAGGCCTTTGTCCAACAGTGGGCAGATAAAGGCTGATGATGGCATGTGTATAAATGTCCATAAAGGGTACATTACTTTTTAAACATAGATGATTGTTTAAATTATAGCGTTGGAACGGAGGTCCGTATCAGTCTACGATCACAAGCCAGAGTTCAGGCGCGCCGCAAGCGTGGCACTCGTGCCGGCGGCTCATCTACGTGCCGCGGACTGTCTCACAGAAGGGCTTCGCTGTCGGCTTCTGGCCCATACCGGAGTCCTTCAGACCTGATCCCAACGCTCCATCATTGGTAAATATACTTTATATTTCATGCTTAGGATGTTATTGCTTAATTATACTAACTGGTCCCCGCGACTTCGTCTGCGCGAAATTAATAGCCACATAAACTGTGGCATATCAGACTGTGTTCTATGTCTATACAGCATTTCATTGAGATCCATTGAGGATATATCTTCTAATAAAAAAAATAAATCTTTCGTAACAAAGCTCTAATAAATTTAGTTCAATTGTTACATTTTTAAACAAAACACTACTGATAACATTTTATAACATTTAGCTGACTTTGAATAAGGAAAAAATATTAGGAAAGGAAAAACCTTTAAAAACACAAGCTAATACTTAATTAGTGATAATATAAACAATATTGAAATGCCTCTCTCATCCCACTGGGTTGCCTAGAAGAGATTACTTAAAGTAATAAAATCAACCTTACTTCTCAATTATATTGTAAACCCTAATTTGAGTAATCTATTTAATAATATTAAAAATGTGAAAGTTCAGATGGATAAAAGTTTGCGAAATTGCTCAGTGGACCTCAGTGTCATTTGGTATAAATGTAATAGGATAGTTTAAAACACACAGATCGTTTTTGATTTTTGTTAATTCCACGCGGACAGAGTCGCGGGCGAAAGCCAGTGATAAATAAATAACTATTTTATTTTCATAAATTGTATTAATATTTGCAGCCGCCGCGGTCCGCGCACCCCGTGGTGAAGTTCACGTGCTCCAGCCAGGAGCCCATGGTGATAGACAACCTGCCCTTCGACAAGTACGAGCTGGAGCCCAGCCCGCTCACGCAGTTCATACTGGCCAGGAAACAGCCCACTATTTGCTGGCAGGTGCGTTTATATACGTTCTATACTAATGTTATAAAGTGGAAAGATTTGTATTTTTGTATGTATTGAAATAACAAAAACTACTAGATGGCTTTCAACAATTCTTGCACCATTGAAAAAACTATGTTATCAGTGTCGTAGGGTATATTTCTACATTTTTTGATTTTACGTTGGCAAAGTCGCAAGCAACTGCTAGTTAATATACAATGGAACAAGGTTTTATAGGAATCTAATAGGAACACTTGGTATATTTTAGTATTTTGCAAGGATCTCGATTGCTCCAAACAGATGTTATTCCATTATCTTTATAATGAAAAAGCAAATAAACTTTGTCTTTTATAGTAATGTTGTGAATATTATATTTGTGTCTTATATGTAAATATGTGGTTGCAGGTTTTCGTAGCAAATAGCGGCTGTAAAAACTCTGAAGTCAATCACCCTTTTGGTTATTTGAAGGCGTCAACAAATCTGACGTGTGTGAATTTGTTTGTGTTACCATACAACTACCCGGTGCTGCTGCCGTTACTTGACGACCTGTTCAAGGTGCACAGATGTAAACCAACTGCTGAATGGAAGATGGCCTTCCAACAGTATTTGGATAGAATGCCATCGTACTATGTTGTGGTAAGTTTATATTTTTTACTTGCTTTTGCCCGCGACTACGTCCGCGTGTAATTAAAAAAAAAGAAACATAAGCAGGAGTTCTTCTAGACTATCCTCCACATCCATGCCAAATTTCAGCGAGATCAAACTCTAGTAAACATCCCATCTAAACTTTCGCATTTATAATGTTATACTAAGATTATAAAGAGGAAAGATTTGTATTTTTGTGTTATGAAAGAACTCAAAAACTACTGGGCCGAAAAAATTTCAAAAATTCTTTAGCGATACAGTTTTAAAATATGTAGTAATTGTTTAGCTTTTATATTTTTAGCGATAAAATGCGACATAAAATATATTACCTTAGCGATATTCGTATTATGTTTTTCTAAAATGAATATTTATAATTTCCAGCCACTTCGAAGGGCGTTAACGAAAATGGGCGCATCTGCGCCGTTGGTACAGAGTCTCATACCGGACACTCAAGACAATTCACTAAGTTTTTCCGTCTTAAATTATTTGAAGAGAATGAAAAATCAAGCTAAAATGGAGTTTGAGAAACTTTGTGCTGATGTTATCAACAAAGCTTCTAATGGGAATAATCAAAAGGTAAACTGAAATGTAATAACTGTATCACTACAATCAACATCTTTTTTTATAAATTGTGTAAAAAAAATTAAAGGGGAAGGGTCAAATATTGAAACGACACATTAAATATGAAACAGCACCCCAATAAAGCCACGCTTAAACTCTAAATGCCATTATTGTCTTCTGACATATTGTTTGCTTACAAAACGAGGTCTTTGAAACTCATTCCAGACTTTTGTGTATAGCATTACCCATTTAATACAGCCATTAAATCTTACTAATATTATAAGTGCGAAAGTTTAGATGGATGCAAGAATGTCCCAGCAACGAATATATACTTGTTAAAAATGTATTATTTTAAAAATAAACTTATATTATTATTTATTTATTTATTTATTATGCATGGATGTTTGTTAGAATTTGTAGCCTATACATCTACGGATCTCGATGCAATTTGGCAAACTAGATCATAATCTGAAGTAACACAAAGGCTGATTTTTTTTTAATTCCACGCGGGGGCGTCGCGGACGCAAATTAGTAAAAAATAAATACTTTTACAGGTATCGGAGAGCGTTCGCGTAATGTCGCGGTCTCCGCTGAAGAAGGAGCTGACGTCGCACCCCAGCCTGCAGGACAAGTTCAGCGCGCTGCGAGACCAGCTCAACGAGTTCGGCGGCTTCGTGGTGGGGCTGTCGCGCGGTCGCCACAAGCCGCACGCGCACACATACAGGAACCCCTTCGACATACAGCGCAGAGATCTGCTCGACCAGGTATCTTCACTAAATCAATTACATTGCTAGTTAAATGTAGTTTTACATTAGAGTTGTATTGTCTCGACTAAACGCGAATTGGACACGTTAACTTCAAAATTCATGGCTTGAAAATGAGTTTTATTCTGATCGAAGCGTCCCAAACTGATAAAATATTTAGGATTAGTTGTATTAAGAGCACCCGAAACAGAGGAGTATCAGGACTACATAATGGATATTCACAGTCTACCTACTTCTGTCTTCATATTTAAAGAGAATTTAAAAAAAAAGTTTTATCAGCAAGGCATAATTTTTTTTAGTATTCTTTGTAAACAATATAATATTAAATTTTGTAATTTACAGCAAAAGTAGCAATTATCTTCAGATTTTACCTACTAATAAGTTTAAATTCGATTTATATTAAAATAATGTCAAAAAACGATAGTTACTTTGCAGTATGTGTATGTGTGCAGGTGGTGCGCATGCGCGCCAACTTCCTGCAGCCGTCGCTGGCGCACACGCGGCTGGTGGACGAGGACAGCGCGCACTCGATGCCGGTGGCGCAGATGGGCAACTACCAGGAGTACCTGAAGCGCATGACGCCGCAGCTGCGCGAGATTGAGTCGCAGCCCGTGCGCCAGCACATGTTCGGCAACCCCTTCAAGATCGACAAGGTACTTTCTTCATCTTCATCTTGACGTGAAACAGCACCATTGTTATATTACCAAAAAAACAAAAAAAAAGAGTATAAAGTGAAATATTCTATTTCTAAAAATTAATTTTTACGTTATAAAAGACTATATAATAAGATTAAACTTTTTAAAGGTTTATGTATGTTTTTAAGGATTATGTATGTAGTTCTTTTGAATACAAAAAGGGATAAGTTGTATTACTCTAAAAATACAGTTTTCCTATTCCCCATTTAAACACAGTTAAAATGCAGTCTAAAAATCCGTTTAATGAGAATCTAATCGGAAAACTAAAGCCACCACCGCCCTCGATTACTAATAATAAATACTGTAGTGTACAGCTCACTGTTCACTACTTTATGACCTTTTGATTTTAAAATCAGATTTTAAATGTTACATTTTATCAAAGTTCAATCCAGGCCATTTTTCTTTAACAAACACCATTAGGAGTTGTCGAGGATGTTATATAAAGTAGATAATAAAAATTTTCAGCGCATGATGGTCGACGAAGCGGACATAGACCCTATGGGCGCGGTGCGTGGCGCCGGCGGCGGCGGGGCGGGCGGCAAGCGCGGCGCGGAGTCACCCCGCGCGGCGCCGCCCAAGCGCAAGGCGGGCCCGCTGCCGCAGCACGTGGTGGCGCGCCGCCCCTCCTCGCCCGCGCCGCCCGCCTCCCCCGCCTCGCCCGCACCCCCGCCGCCCGCCGCGCCGCACCCCGCTGCGCCCTACGCCCTGCCGCTGCCGCTGGCCTTCGCGCCGCCGCCTCCTGCCGCGCCGCTCTCCCCCCTCTCCCCCCACTCGCCTGTCACCGCGCGCCGCCCCGCCTCCCCGCTCGCGCCCGTGCCCTCGGACCTGCCATCGGGACGCCCGCCAGAAGTCAGTTTGTACACTTCACTCTCAACAGTCAGCTATGCTAGCTATGTTTTGGCTGCTGATTTTACCTCATTCTTTATCTGTTTTCCAGGAGCCGCCCAACATGGACACGGGAGGACCGACCATCACATTACCAGTTCCGCCTTCACCGCCTGTTACGCCTATTTTACCGCCTGTTATCAAACCATTCCTTAACGGAGGTATGTTTTTATCAATAAATTGTATTACAGTCTATACTAACATTGTAAAGTGGAAAGATTTGTATTTTTGTATGCATTAAAATAACACAAAAACTACGAGGCCGATTTCAACCTTTTTTTCGCCCTTGAAAAGATACGTTATCAGTGACTTACTATTTATTATTTCTTACTATTGTTAATTCCAAGTAGACGAAGACGCGAGCAACAGCTAGTTTATTATAATTTTATTGGTTTAGTATAATAATTTATTATAATATTAATCTGGTTTATTTTAAATTTTCAGATGCTTATACAACATTGGGCAGCAAGATGCCGCGGTCGCCGTCGCCGCCGCCGGAGCCCCCGGGCGCAGCTGCCGGCGGCGCAGGCGCTGCGGCAGCTGCGGGGAGCGCGGCAGCTGCGGGCGGCGCGGCAGCTGCGGGCGCGCCGAGCCCCGCCTTCAGCTCCCTGCTGCCCGTGGTCACGCACGACTCTCAGGAGCTGCAGATAAACGCGATACTGCAGGGCATCGCCGCAGAGAACGAATCTAACTCGCGAGGAAAGAAACGAAAACGAAAGGTAAATATTACTTTTTACTAATAATACGAACGCGAATGTATATATAGATGTATGGATGTTTCCTACCACGTAACTCCAGAACGGCTTCTTTTTTTTCACGCTGATGAAGTCGCGGACGACTTCAAGTGTAAAGGTAAACCATCGAAATGCCACCGTAAAATGTACTAAGAAAAAGGTAATATTTTATTTCATATTCGATTTAACCTAATAGAATAAGCTAAATTAATAGTTTGTGGTTACATAAACAACATTTTGATTTAAATTTATTGAATCAAATGAACAGCGTTTCTCTTTCTATTTAAAAAATAACGGCAATAATATTTATTTTCAGACGGAAAAGGCCGCGCCCGTGCAGTTCCTGCTGCCGCCGCAGCCGTCGCGAAAGGAGCTGGCAGATATAAAGAAACACAATCTCAACGTACGCTCGGAAGTGTACCGCGCAGTGAGAAGACCCGGCAGAGGTAAATAACACATTAAGAGCAGGCGACCTTTGACCAAACTATCACACGACTGTTGTGCGATTGTCGATTGTTTCGCAGACAATTCAATTAGTTGCAGAAGTAAAAATAGAGTATTATGCGCATCTGTATATAAGTTCATAGGAATCAATGTGAGACTAAACAGTTGTGCGATAGTTTAGTCAAACATGTGCGTGAACTCTATTACGCTATTTTTATTCTAATAAGTCTAAGGTAAATGCTCTACTAATAAGAATATTGCGAAATAAGGATAAAAAACAAAAAAATGGCCAAGTGGACATCTTAACCCGATTTTAATAATTTTCAACAGATTAAAAATTTAAATGCTTGTGTTATGTATTACAATAGTATTGCTGCTTATTTACTTAGATCATTGGTTAGTGGTTTAAAATAATTTTATCTAGATTATTATCGATGAATCTTCAGTCTATAAATTCGGTAACGTTCGGAATGCGAAGTGAAAGTTGCGTTCACTGTTGCTAGGTGAAAGGCGTCAGCTGTGTCATTGACTTATACTAATGAGGAACACACGTGAAATACACACGGCCTTGAATTATAATTTATTTTTTACTTTTGGACTTTATTTACTGTTCTGTAAAAGTAAATACAAAAATGTAGAATTATTGAATGTTTTCATTTCAGATTTTACGAAGTTATTCGAATATTTGAAGGACTTGAAGGGTAGCGTGGATGTAAAGAAGGAAGTGATACGTGATGTCATCAGTGAGTCGCTGCGGTTCAAGAGGAAGGGGCTTGCGAAGCTTCTAGAAGACTTCCTAGTGAGCCTCGAGAGGAACGGAAACAGCGGCTCGGTCGGCGTAAAAAGATTGAACTCTGTATACAGCGCCGGACATAGCTAGTGAGTGGACTCTAGTGTGTACAGCGCCGCACATAATGCACTAAAGTGTGTACAGCGCCGCACACAGTGTACTGGTGTGTACAACGCCGGACATAGTGCACTGAATTGTGAACAGCGCCGCACATAGTGTACAGGTGTGTACAATGCCGGACATAGTGCACTGAAGTGTGTACAGCAACACAAATAGTGCTCTCGAGTGTGTACAACGTCGGACACAGTGAATGCTAGTGTGTACAGCGGACGGACACAGCTAGTGAATGTGCTTGAGTGTATACAATGCTGGATACAACTAGTGCACACATGTGTACAGCGCTGAACATAACTAGTGTACACGTGTGTATAGCGCTGGACATAGTGTACACAAGTGTGTACAGCGCTGGACATAGTGTACACAAGTGTGTACAGCCCTGGACACAACTAGCGTGCACTTGTGTACAGCGTTGGACACAGTTCAAGCACTAAAGTGAATATTTCATAGACTAATCATAGAGTTATATTTGCAAGACTATTTTTTTTAAATAACTGAAACGTCTGCCTTACTCAATGTGACTATGATTTTATGTTAACGTCTTTTGGTATGAAAATTAAAATTTAAATTACGTTGTTGTCAAAAGTTTTTTAGCCTTTGTTAGTGCGTTGGAATGATCTCATTTTAATCAAATATTACATAAATTCGTGAATTAAAAACAGTAAAGTTAACATTTTTATACATTTCAAAGTATTTCAAGGACTTGGACATCAATTTTATTGGTGATAATTTAAACTTCTTTAGACTTTATGTGTTTTATTTCGAAATCGTCAAGCCAATTAATCGTTTACATAAAATCTTTCGTTATATTGAGAAGTGTGAAAGTCTACTAGTGAATTTTATTAGTGGATAAATATTGTTACCTATGCAATATGTTGATAGGATAATTTGTTTTCATATTGAAGCATAATTCGAATAAAGGTAAATTTATGACGGCCGTGGCACGATTTCATAAAAGAAATGCGATATTTAAGTATTTTCTAATATCATTGGACTTGAACAGTATTAATTTTATTAAAAAACATTACAATTTTGTCACGGTTGTTGTGTATAGTCTGACCAGAAATATGAAAATTCCCGCCGTTTTGCGGGTAAATGGAACTATACTCTTTGCGTACATTAGAAATCTAATGAAATGCCTCTGGGTCCGGATTTTTATATACTTGGCTAGGCTATATACATTCTCAGGACTCATACTAATATCGAAACACGTGAAAAATATGCTTTCTTTTTCTTTCTCTGTGTAAAAGAGAGAGAGAGCAATATTTTTGTACATGTTTTTTAAAGACATGATACATGATAAGCTCTGACAGTTCTAGAACATTCTATATTAAAAGTTGTATTCCGTTTGTAATGGAATAATATTTTTTATGTTAAATTTATTGTATTAGATACAAGTTTGGAACATTTTATTTGTTAAATTAAAAATTAAGGCCGTCAGAGCTTGAGAAAAACGAAATTTTTAAAGGATTTACTTCTACATTTTTTTATCAATGTCAATATAACTGAAAAACGAGTGCAGAAACATATTGCTATCTCTTACCTGACTGACAGAGGTAATGTTATTCTCGTGTAACTTTGTTTTCATGTATCCCATTGTGACGGCTTAGAGCCTAAACTATTGAACCAATTTGTACCAATAATGTGGCATTTGACTCATCTTCCACAGAGTGTTAGAAGGTATATTACATCTGAACAAAAAATGAGAAAATTGAAATTCTAAGACAAATAATTGTAAACTGGATTCAAATCTCATTATTTTATTTAGTTTATTTTAGTTTCTAAATCAAATTTTTGGTGTTTTTTAATATATTGGTCTTAGTCAGTCGAGTTAAGTTATGGTTAATATTTAATTAGAATGAGAGAGATAGCAATATGTTTGTGCAGTAAACTAAAGGCAAGAAAACTAGTGTGTCTACGCCGAGTCCTGAGTTTACCATACAGGGCACAAATATTAGCTTTTAATTAATTGAAGAATCTGTAATAAATTGAAACTCATCTGATGCAAGTCAGAATGACTCGATAACGTTTAGATCTCTATTGCAAGTTGTAGTGTAAGATATTACAAGTTTTGTTTGATCCATACAATTAATGCTCAAGTAGAATTCATTGAGTCTTGTTACAAAAATTGTGGTAAATGAAAACAAAGCAATACAAGAGTTGTTTGAGTGTTTTGTGAGGGAATGTTGGTGAATGTTCTGGTTATGTAAATAGCGTTGTACATAATAATTTTATTACAATTACCAATGAGAATAAATATATATTGTTTGTAAGTGCGCGTGACGGAGTGAAGCCCGAGAGCCATCGGTCCTTTTGGAATTTCTCTTTGTGTTCGTGTAAATTTGTAAATGAAGTTTGTGATACTAGATAAAGTTTTCACATTTTTTTAAGGTCTTAAATGCATTTAAATATTTGACAAGATGGATTCTGTAAGGGGCCTTTTGCTCTCAGCGTTGTATGGTCAATTGTAAAGTGTATATATCATTTTATAAATAAATTATAATCCTTATTGGATTTTTATCATTGTGTATTATTTCAAGCTATTTTATTTAATAAAAGTAAACAACGCACAATAGGCGACAGAATATACAAAGGGATAAGATGGACCAAATCGGATATTACAAAAATAAGAAGCCAGCAAGATTAGTTGCTAGGGTTAACAAAAAAAAACAAAAAACGTAAAATCGACTAAATTGGAAATCGCACGGCGAAACGAGTTTTGTTGTAAGCCTTAATTTAATTTTACTGAATCTTATTTGATACAAACTAAGTTTTTGTATCAACTTCCAAAATTTTTTTTGTTAATTTAATGCGTTTATATCGTAGCATTATTTCTTCAAGATATTTTTTTTATCAATAACGATGTTATTTCTTGAAATAAATTCGCACGTCTTTATTTTTATCGCGTCGCTTACACATGGCTGCCTCTCCATTAGACTATGAATTGATTGAGTACGGCATTCATCAGAGCGCGAAAAATCAGACATCGACCTGATAATTGTTAACAGATAGAAATGTTAAGACAATATTACGTTCCTAATTAACGATTCTGCGTAAACTTTTTTTTTTATTTTTTTTCTTTTATAATAAAGGTGCTGTCAACCTCAAAAAGTTCTATTTATGCTCTGAATTAAACTAAAGTTAGAACCTTTTGTCACCTAATAGAGAAATGTAGGAACAAAAATAAAATTCGGTCGTAACGTGAATGTTAAGATATTACTAAAGATGTAATAATAAAATAAAGATTAGTAATATTTAATAATCAATAATACTAATAATATAGCACTATAATGATTGTTAAATAATGGTTCCTCCATTTCATTTTATTTCATTGGAAATACTCTAGATAAGTGATAACAAAAAATCAAATAAACATAAAAAAAAATCCTTTCAATATCGCTCCACTTGTGCAAAGACAAATTGATGGATACGCGATTCCGTCGCTTCATCAATCAGTTTTCCTATTATTATAATTTTTTTCATTAATATCGTTTACAAAAATAAAGACGATATACGATTTCTTAACACTTAAGACGGAAATTTAAAATACGTAAACAAAGATAAAAAAAACATATCAAATGGTTCTCCACAAGCCTTACTTCGATCCATTGTTACGGATGAGTTATCCCTTCAAGTGATTAATCGGTTTTCTTATCTCAGGTTCACCCTGTCAGACTATCGGTTACTTGCGGCTAAAACTACGAAAGCGACAAGCCAATATAAAAACACCGCTCGGAAACAAAGACAAAAACAGCGGATCGTTATAGCTGTCGAACGGTTAAATCGCAAAATACAAAATTAACATAAAATCTTTTAAAAACATTAAAGTGATTTATTTTAATGTCTAAGTAAATATTTTTTTTTATACTAGTTTTGCGAGGACTTAAAAATGAGCTTAGAGAGTAGCCTATTTGTTCTTCCAGACTGTTCCAGAATTTTCTACATCTGTGGCAAATTTCATCGAGATCCGATCAGCAGTTTAGGTTACAAACTCTAACAAACTTCTATCTATCCAATCTTACGCATTTATAATATTAGTAAGACAGTGTTAAGATTTTCTATTTATATTTTATCTTGGAAATAATAATTATCCTCATTGAATGTTTAGTACAGCGTAAGGATGATTGGCTGGTAGCTTGTAGCCGGTAGAGAGAAAATTAAAGCAATTTCTACAGCGAATCCTTAACTGTCCTGTAGCAGAGCTGTGGAATTAATTAATTCTCTTAACGTTCAAGAAACGTTGCTTGAAAATCTCAAACATGTATTTATTCAGGAATCAGTTATTACTGCACTTTGTATATAGGTGAATGTTAAATCTTATTGTAGCAACATATTCCCTAATTGTTTTTTAATAAGGAAATAATAGATATGGTCGGATGGGGAAAGTGGATTTGTCTAGTCAGGGGATGTATGTATGTATGTCTCTGTATATTCTCTCATTTGTCATTAAATGTAGGCAACGCGTTTGAATTACTTTTTCTGAAGTCTATGGGCCGTCACTTTGCTCTTTAAGTATATTTAATAGTTTGGCCATTTGTTTATTTATCTCTAAATCCTTTGATATGTTTAAAATTGTAATATTCACCTTTATAGTCGGCAGGTAAATAAATATTTGCTCCCATGGAATACGTAGTTCGCAAACAAAGTGGGCACACTAGGGAAACATCACATAAACTAGTTCGCCCGCAACTTCGCCAACAGTTTGTGCATAACTTCCGCAGCAATTAGTTGTGTATGAACAATAATTACGATTTGCTTTCATAAACATATACGTAAATCGGAATTTCTAAAGTATTTCAGAATTACAGTTATTTGGTTTGTCTATGAAGTTTAAACTAATCTTTGAAATTAGTCTTTGATAACAAACAAAAAAATTATAAATACCCCCAAAGGAAATTGGCCATAAGGAATCGTTTGATAGAAACCCGCGATGAATAATCAATGAAAAACAAAGGAAACACTAGTGATTGTTTTTCCTTGAACGTAATGCTTCAATTTGGTTGTTTGTTAGGAAAAAATAAGTATAATTAGACAATGGTAACAATTTTCTTTTTTACGAAAATTGTATTTTCACGTTTCGCGTTATTTTCCTACAATTTAATGTAGGTAAATCGAAATATCGATGTTGTAGTAACGAGGTTATAATAGTTTTTATTATGATTCGTGTTAACGGAGTGTGTTATACGGGTTGGTTAGTGCATCAACGCGCGCAGCTAACGTGCAGTCAGCAAGTCTGTGACTTGAGAAAGTGAGCAGACTGGACCAGACATATATGTGATTCACGGAGCATCCAGATGGCAAGTCATTTTCATTCATTTAATACAGACTGTTTATGCAACTTGCAGGTCTTACAATATGTTTATTGAACTATAATACACGTGTTGTATACATATATTTCTACACTGTATGTGCATATTTTTGTATCAATGACAGGTTCTTTATTACAATGTTTTATCACAGTAAAGTATTGTAGGATGTTTTTTATTCTGACAGACAGATGGCCACCGAAAGCCGACAGCAAATGGAGCCGTGTTATGCATTTTTGAACAATACAATGCAATTATGACAAATTTCATTATCTTTTGTTAAAGAATACCGAATAAACGTAACCAAGAATTAACATCTTTATTTTTTGTATAAGAGATACAAAATGGGATTTATTTTTAAAGGATTTATTTTTAAAGATTCTTTTGTCTTTATTCAGTGATTCGTTTAATTAACTAAAATGTTAATTATTAAATTCAACTGTTAACTATTTGAAGAATACAGTGGTAATATTTTTCCTCACTTCATTATAATGAAGCGAAAGTACATGAAAAATGAACAGTAGTTTAAAATTCCGTGAGCCTTTTTCTCCTTACGATGTTCAAACAAAAACTGCTGAATAATAAACTATTGTTTAGCATTTCTTTAGCGGCACTCTAGTTTACAACGTAAGTTTCACGTCTAGTGCTTTGAACTTAGCGGGGTCTCAAGTATTAAACTTTCTAATACCACGTTCAAAACAAAGAAGAATTAATACCGAGCCTTATTCGATACTAGCTGTTCCCGTGCGGCTTTATCCGTATGAAATTTTATTGTTTACATTTATCAATTACCTTACTATGTCAATATTGCTTATTGATGTTGGCGGCAGCTTATGGTCTCTTTCTCACATTAAGGTTTTTATACAATTTTTTACCCCCTGAGTTTAATAGCGTGAAAATATATACCCTAAAGCGTGACGTAAGTATAGAGATTTTAATTAAAAAAATAGTTATTAAAATATGCTATAATTGCTGACATCTTACGCCACAAAAAGTGTGTGTTTACGCTCTATTATATTAGTATAGATTTTTATATCCTAATCGTAAATGATACCACCATATTAGATTTGGGATCAAAAATTTTAAGCCGATCATATGACATGCTCCATAGTAAAATTACAACTATTTTGTAACCGACATCATAATAGTAGGTTCTTAATTCGTCTGTATTTTTTTAAAGTACATTTTCTTGTCCAGTTACGTTGAAGATTTAAATGAATATGATTTAATAAGTGATTTAACACAAAAGAAATACAGCGCTGCTAAACGAAACAAAATAAAAAACAAACTATTTTATTTAATCTTTTTTTGTTGTATTAGAGTATGCGAGTAATGCTCGCATTTCACATGATTCAAGAATGTAAGATGAATGCATAATTACGTGCGCTTCACTCAGACGTGAATTCATAAACTAAAGCCCTGCTTTCACTGCATAAACAGAGGTCCATTCAAAACAAGAGCAATTAATATCTATTTTGTCTCTCATGCGGTATTCTCTCTTGGGGTAGTTATTTTACGTACGGAATTGAGTGTATTAATATACATAAATATACATTATTGAAATATGCGAGCCTGAGTTATAATAATTTAGTGTGAGTAATCATACAGTAACACATATTTTTTTATTCTAGACTAGTATTATTTTACTATTTATGCTGTCGGTTTTAGCTTTACTAGCGTTCTGGGCTAGATTTCTATGGAGCTTTCTATTTTTACCATGACTAAAACTGAGGGTGTCATGATCGTTATGTGAAGGTAGTCTGAAAAACTGTAGCGTCCTTTTCTGCGCCCTGGGGAGACGTCAGTTTTGGACCTATTCACAGTTGGTGCTAGAAAATATTATTCTAAAAATGATTTTATTAATTTCATCTCATCTCACGACTCGAGGACACAAATACTTGTAATTATACATTCAATTAATGAAATAATGCTAAGAAAAGGTGTTTAATTAAATATGTGAATAAGGTTTTATGAAACGCTTCTTGAATATTATTTAGTAAATTAATTAATTTCACGCTGCGCTGCTGCGACCAGCTTTAAGATTCTGTACGGAGTATGCTTTAAATTATGCTGCAGCCAATCAAAATTGTATTATTAATATTCGTATGTATTAAATTATTATCTAAAAAATGATAATAGTAAAGAGTAATAGGAGGGATGAATCGTATGTACGGAGAACGTTAGTTATGAGTGTTGAAGGGTTCACCGGTAGAG